TGCTTTCATAATTAAATTATTCAGGTTTTTTTTATGGTTTCTTAGAAAGCAGTAGATTGTCACTGAGATACATTTGAAAGTTTGAGTACAATTGAAAACCTCTTGTTTGTTAGTTTTAACCTTTAATTATAATCAATTCATTACAGAAATGATGATTTAAAAAATTTTAACCAGAAAAAGAAATTTAAAACACTAGGCACCCCAGTGGGGAGCCAAAATGCAGAATGCATTAAGGCTGACTGGTTTCTGGTATTCATCAATCTTTTCTATTAAAGCAAAATACCAAAACATATTAAATATGAATTATTCATAAATGTTAACATCTGTGAACTTCCTCCTTTTTTATGTACATTCAAATGACTTTTACTTATACAATAATCATAATTATATTTTGTAAATTGTCTCAAAAAGGCCTGGCTTTCCCGAAGAGTTGGGTTTTTTTTATTTAAGTGAATATTTTTGTTCAGGAATCAGGGAGGTTTGTAGCAAATGAAATACAACGGATTTCTTTTTTGTTTTTTTTTTTAACCACAGTTGGTTGCCAGTTACCGTGCGAATTTTCTGCTGCTGGGACAATGACCTTACTACATCCGCAAGAGCCTTCCCAGGGAGCTGGCTGCCTCTGCCTCCCAATCACTGCAAGGCTTGTTATTAAGCTACTGTGTATGCCTGGGCCTTTTGTAGTGTGGACCTGCTGTCCAGAAGGTAACAAACTAAGGTTGTCGCAAATGTACACTAGGGTTTGCAAGCTAAAATGTAATCCTGCTTTTAGACATAGAAGTTATTTTTAAATTTAAATGATACATGCTGCACAACAAACACCAGGTTCTAGCTTTCACCATGCTTTTGCAGTTAAACACATGTGGCCAAAATTTAAAGGTGGCAAAAGCTAGAAGATCAAATCCACAAAATTTTCAGATGAATTTTATCACTTACAATGTGAAATGCAAAAATGGTACAGAAGAAAGAGTAGATTAATACAGGCATTCCTGTATTTTTAATACTGATTTAGGAATAATTCCTAATTGTGAAAAGCTACTGCCACCATCTCTGGCTCCCAACAGTGTCTCTGACACACCTCCAGGGCTGAAACTCCTCCACTTTCCACCCGAATCCTTGTTTTCCTCCCTACTCTGGCAGCTTTCCTAGCAAAATTGTCTCCACCTCTTCCCCTAACTTCTAGCTCTGTTGCAGTCTAAAAATATGGAGACTTTGGCCATGGAGAAACATGCCTGAGAGGAAGAATTCTCTCCATTTATCCACAGGAAAGGAGAAATTATGTTCTTTGTGTAATATGTTACGTGAATAGTGGGTTATAGTGGTTTTCATGGAAAGCCTTTGATAAGAGCTTGTATTCAGAATTATAAAGCAATATCCAAATGGAACACAGTTTCTTAACCTTAACACCTAATATTTTGGGCTGGATGATTCTTTGTTGTGGGGACTGTCCTGTGCAATGTAGGATGTTTAGCAGCATCCCTGGCCTATACACACTAGATGCCAGTAGCACCCCTACCCCAGTTATGACAATCAAACATGTCTCCAGACATTGTCAAATGGCCCTCGGGGGTAGATGTGGCAGCAAAATCAACTCCAGTTAATAAATATGTCATAGAGAATATTTATATTTAAAAAAATTGCCTTTCATAGACAACGTGCTTCAAGAAAATCTACCCAAACATACTCAGTGAAAGGCAGGATGATAAGCAGAGTTTTTAACAATCTCTACATTTTGGTTAGGGAAGAAATAATTCATAGATATTAATCTTTTAACTGGGAGGCAATAAAACAGAAGGTTGGAGCACAGGCTTTGGAATCTGCATTGATTTACATTGATTCACTGGCTATGTGATCGTGGCAACCTACTTAAAGTCTCCGCCCTTTAGTGCTGTTACCTAAAGTGTGAGGATAATTGCAGTATCTCTCTCACAGGGCTGCCGTGATGATGAAGTGGCATAATGCCCACAGTGTGCACAGTGGAGTGCCTGAAACCAGGACGCCCTCTCCAGCTCCTTGGACACGTCTCAGGGCTTTTACTCCGGGATGCTCCCTGTGCCCAGATATACTTCTCCCTCTTCTTAGCCTGACCGGGTCCTCCAAGTCTCAGCTTAAAGAACTCCTCTTGGAAAGGTCTCTCCACCTAATCTACCTACAGCCAGGCTGCCCTGTGATTATCAATCATAGCACTATGTGTAACATTTGCCTTATTTTATCACTTTTTATGCTTCTCCTATTATTTTATAAGTTCCATATGGGCCAGAATCACGTTTATTTACTCAGCATTGTGTCCTCAACTTCTAGCACAGTGGCTGGCCCAGAGTATGGGCTCCATAAATATTGCTGTATGAACGAATGAAGAAAGGAATGAATACACAAGGCTGTTATTATTATTAATATCATCATTATCATCATCATCATCATCAAAGACTTGTAACTGAATTGACTTGACTACTCTCCTGTTTTATAAAAATATTCATTTTTTAAAAATGCTAATATCAAAATGTCGCAATTCATGATAATATATGAAATAGTTACAATAGAATATCTGGTTGAGCGTCAACAACAATGCCTGGGGGATTGTGTAAAGCCTAAAATTTACAGAATTGCATAGAGCTGTGCCGCCAATCGTGCTGGGATATGCTCACATTATGTGTGACCTAGAAGATCTTGTCCTAGGAGAGTGGGCCCTGGCAGTCATCTCATGGTGCCTTAGGAGCTCCTGGCCGCCATGCTGTGGGTGGGAATCACTAACTCAGATGCTCTTCTGGACCCACTGAGTCAGCCCTCTTTGTAGAAGGAGCACTAGCTTTGTTGCTGGTTCACTAGCAAAGCAATTATTTTGTCCTTAAAATCAAACCACAAAGTATACTTGCTTTAAAATAAAGGAAATAATTTTTTAAAGTAACATCTGGAGACAGAAGACCAACTCAGGCATAGCATCACTAGACTTGGAACCATGTTGTTAAAATATTTGTGTTAACAGTAAAGTAAACTTCTTAACATATTTTTCATACTCTGTTAAAGAGAAAGAATGTTGAATTGAAAAGGCTAACAAGTACTGGTGACAAGAAACTCAAGTTCAAAGTGGTTGAAAAAGATCCCAAGAGCTATTTAATTTTATCCAATTACTTAAACTATGTCCAAGTTTTCAAAATAGCTCTCTGTGATTTTCTTAAAAAATCACGGATAATGATAAGAAAAGAGGAATACCTGTAGACCTGAATTTGAGCTTGTGACACATTCTGGGAGCTGCTGACAAATGAATTTCACATATCTTAGGTACATAAGGCTACATACAGTTTCCATTACATCTTTTTCTTGAAAAAAATTTAAAAATTTACAATCATTCTTAGCTCAAGGGCTATTTAAAAACTGGTGGCACATCAGATTTCCCCATGGGACACAGTTTGCCAGCCCCTGTTCTAGAGCTTATCAAACTTGAGAACGACATGAGGGAGAATAAATATTGCTTGACAGACTCAGCATCCATACAGACACCAGGATGCTCATGGCGCATTAGAACTGGAAGAGACCTGAAATCTAGAGATCACCTTGTCAAAGAACTCTTGATCTATTCACTGGACAAACTGGGATATCTTGGTATTATGGGCTGGCAGAAATACATAGAAACAAATGCACGGTTTTCTGCTTGAAATCCCAAATTCCCAATCATATAAGAATAGGATGGGCATTTATAGCTTGATGGCTGAATCAGTGAAGAATGGCCCTTTAGCCAAGAGTCAGCCAAATATGGGTAACGAGTGTGATGTAGTCCAAATTCCAGTATCCAGAATAATACAGCACCACTCAATTGCTTGCCCTGGAGTATCACAAGGGTCACTGTTACGATATGTGAAGAAGTATGAAGAAATTGGAGATGTTTAAACTGGAAGATGCCTTGACAGGATCTTACAAACTGCAGAGCACGGTAACGTGAAGGGTTCTCATTGTGAGCCTTGCCTGGGGGAGCAGGAGGTAGGGAAGGAAAGTCTTGGTGGCAGCTGCTCACGGTGCCTGTGGCGCTGGGACACTGGGATGCAATGCATTTTTGTGCTTAATTCTCCCTTGAGGTCATAAAGCATGAAGTACTTAGTCAGTGAAAGGGACTACCCATTTTTCCTCAAGCAAGAGTTGAACATCTCAAGGAAAAAGCCAACTTAGGAAAACAAGCACTACCATTATGCCCAGACAAACAATGTGTTCCCACAGATGGAAACTGGGGAACTTGATTCTTACACTGTGCTTGCCTCTTTCTTCCCTGAGTCCAATTTTGCCCTCTGTAGACCCAACACATCTATTCCCACTAAATCTGCTCCTTTTCAATATAAGACAACTTTTGAAATATTTAAAGACATACGCTCCCTAAATCGTTGCTGCTTCAGGAAACAGATCACTAATTTCTTCTATACTTCATTAAACATCACACATGCCATAGTTTCTAGATTTCTGCCACATGCCAAGAGAGCAATTTAGAGTTTAAAAAATTATTTTTATATGATCCTGTGGAGGTAGGGAAAGTTTCATATCCTCATATTCCCTGCCCCCACTCTCTCTTAGCAAGCCATTTGAACAAAGTCCAGAAAATGTGCATAACATATCTAAGACACAGAGGTAAAGAGTCAGGTCTGAGACTATACCTAAATCTTTTGTGTTCTAAGTCCATGCTCTTCTGGATCCTGTGTCAAAGGCTTATATAGTTAAAAGGGGCTCACTTAATGTGGTTTGCAATATGGTAACAGAATTTTTAGCAGCACATACCACAAAGTAAATTCGCTAAATTCTCATGAATAGAAATAATATACAGAATAGGATGGGAGTACAAAATGACCAATATGGAAATCCTTTCACCAGTTTGAATCCTCTTGCTTCTTTTACCCTCTATTCTTCTATTTCAACCCACTATGATATTCCTAGAGCAACTCTCTAAGAGGTGATACCATTTACCAAATAGAACTTCAGAGGTATCAAGTTCATACTGTCCTGGAGTCCCTTCTACAGACCTGTATTCGAAGCCGGTATCGTGGGTGAGCAGTTCTCCTTCGTGCATGTTCCCATAATGGTAGTTAAGGTAGGCACCTGATGACTGCCTGAGAAGACACAAAGTAGAATATGGTATAGAGACAAACATGCAAATGACAAGCAATGAACTTACAGTGATAAAGGCATACAAATTAAAGTTACTCATACTCTAACTTAGCTGTGTTCCTAAAGTCTGTTAGTAAGTTAGTTTGGAACTCTGAACACAGTTTTGCCTAATGAAGCGATTTGATAAATAGAGAATGGGTTCATGGGCCAACCCGCTAAAAGCCTTTTATACCTTTCTTAAGTGGCTGAGATAAAGTGTTAATAATACTGTAGGCTGAAACCACCCTGTGTAATAATGGTTCTATGGCCAAATGCATTTGGGGTTCCGACTTGGGATGCCAGGAACACATTCCCCTCCGTGAAGCTTGCAGTCCCTGAGCCCTAAGCCACTGGGCACTACCACCGAGGCAGAGACTGCAGGTGGTGGCGGTGAAGTACAGGTTTCGGGGAATGAGGGCATAAAGTGCCTCAGGGAGCAAGAATCTTTTGCCAGATCCCTGTTCAGGGTCTTCTATTCTTCCACAGTCCCCAGGAATCCATCTGCTTGCTGGCTTACCACCTATTTCCCCAGCCCAGAATGGGACAGAAAATAGTAACCTTTCTATTTGCATATAGAAACTTATATATATATACAAAATTCGTTGTTCATAACAGATATGAAGTAAAGAGGTTTCCCTTAAACCTATTTTTTAGGCTCTGAGGTCCCAGAGGTGAGGCTTTGGAGAACCAGCAGTCAACTAGGGCACACAGACAGGTATAGACGTTAATTACGGTTGGATGGAGAAAGTGAAGTACAGATTTTAAAACATGGAGGCATTAGAGGAGGGAGAAGCGAATTCTAGAAGGGGAGAAAAACTCAGACAGCTTTTTGGAGAAGAATCCCTCTAAAGGAGTCACAGGATTTACACACATGAAGGTAAGGAGGGGAGTGAAGGGTGCAATATTTTTCTGACAAAAGGTACAGAGGCCATCTAAGGCACGGAGCAGAGTGACCAGGGCCACTCGTCAACTGCTCTAAACCAGGAATCCCACAGCCAGTGCATATCCAAACGTTTGTGAACCAACTAGAGAGAGAGTCAGAGCTGATGTTAGAATGAATGACATGGGCACGCAGAAGAGAGGCTGAAGGTTGGGGAGCCACAGAGTGGCTCCTGCAGGATTCTGGGTGAGTGGAAATGAGGATGAGAAATAGGAGGATGGCACTGAAAATGGAGAAGAGGGACTTGCGTGAGAGATACTGTCACCTCCACGTCTCAACAGAACCTGTCCTCCAAGCCCTTTGGCTTTTGTAAGACACTGATTCCCTCAAATACTGCTCAAGTGGCGGCTGTTTATCGAGCCACAGATTCCTCTGGTCACACAGGCAGGATCCGCGTTCTCTAAATTTCCAATGCCGCCTGTGAATTATCCATCCTCCACTCTCACATGCACCTGTGAAGCTTTTGCCACTCAGCTTTAGAACCCTCAACCTGCCCTCTTTGCTCCCCTCTATTGGTTTTCTGATCGTTCTTTCACCTTCACTGAAGAGCTGCGTGCGTCTTCTGCACTCCAGATTTCACTTGCTACCTAGGTGTGTTACCCTTGATAATTTCACTCAATACACATAGTCAACTTTGGAAACACAGTCAACCTTGGAATTAAATAGTGTCCAATACTTGAAAGAATAAACTTTATGCTATGTATCAATAGAGACAAGATATGGTATTAGAAATAAAATTTGAAATATTATATTATGAAAACAAGGGTGCTTTTTCTAGGGCATCGTATCACATATACTCTCAGTCTGTGAAACAAAAACTCTCAATCTATGAAGAATCAAGAGTTTAACTTTGTTAACTGTTCCCATATGCTAGATTTTCAAAATGTGTAGAAAAGCTTTATTTAACAGCTTTCTATATGAATGTGCATAAATATTTTTAGTAAAGAGCTTGAAATTTTAGGTTTAGTGTTACCTATTTTATTAAAAAAAAAGGTATTTTTTCCTAAGGAAAATGTTTACAATATAATGACACCAACTTTCTATTTAAATAACACAAAATATTTACCAGTAGGATTTATGAGACAAAAACTTCTGTACACACTTTGAATTCAGAAATAATGATGCTTCAGCTTTAGATTCACTCTGTACTGAAAAACCCAATGTGATCATGCCTCAAATCTAGTAAGTAATTAAAACATGGAGATTTTTGAGAGCAGATAGTGTATGATTCACAATAAGTTTAATAAAAGTAGAGCTTTGGGGGTATATATGTGTGAGCTCTTCCTCCAAATATTTACATAAAAGTCTGGAAAAAGTAACATTTAAGGAAGAATAAGAAAGGCAGTAACAGAAAATATTTCATGTTCCTGGGAATAAAGACTAACACCGAGGTATGAAATTCAGGAAAGTCTCAAGTTTAATAAATTTCAATCCATGCATATGATGTTTCCATTATGTGCTTTGATCACTTAGACTTACAAATAGATTTAAATGCCACTTAATCATCCCATAACCCAAGAAAGATACTACCATATGTCATCAACTTAATAATTAAGAAATGTTTGTTAAAGGCAAGAAAGAATATCATTTACAAGGCATCAGTAATGAAATTCTAGTTTAAAATGTAACGGTTTGAGGAGAGAGAGTGTCATTTTGTGGTTTCTATTCTCTACAATCCATAGTCACTGGAATCACTCAGAAAAACTATCAGCAAAATACAGAACTATGATTTCTATCTAGCAAAGTAGGAGAGGAATAAAAAGAATAAACAAGAAATTTAACCAAGACAGCAAAAGGTAGGAAAGGAGAAAAAAAGAAGCCATTAGAAAGTATAATAAATAAAAAACTCAAAGTAACATGGAAAGAATAAGCCCAACACCATCGTGAATATATATGGGTATGTCTAACCAGTTAACAACAAGAGTACAAATCGTACAGAAATTTTGACAGTCAGACACTGACAGATTCAGTCTTTTAATCACAGTACTTTGAGCATGTATGTCTTCTGTACCAAATTTCTTATTATCTGATGGTTTCTAAATCAGACCATTTATCATTTTCAATTATTTAAGTACCATATGATATTGTACTGTGATCAAACGCATATGGAATAATGGTTGGAATGATGGAATGATGGAATGATGGAATGATGCATGGAATGATGCCAGGTATTGCTTTGGGAGGAGAGAGGGAAAAAGAGGAGGAAAAGAATTTCAATGCTGTTATTCTGCACTGAAGTTGTTGACTGTCTACTGGAATATAGTCAGCGTCATTAACGCTTTCTTGCTGAGACTGAGCTTAGGTGACATGATGCTCTTGTGTATTTCACTGTGTACATTGACAGCTAATATACAGCCTAAGACAGTAATACTCTCCAGGGATTAGGGGGATGGGGGGATAAACCCACAACTAAAGGACATGGGGAGCATGGTAGGGGGGAAGGGCATGCCTCTAACCCTTGCTTGGGTGAGGCAAAGACATAAAGTGTAACCTTAATGTTTGTACCCTCATAATACCCTGAAATAAAAAGTAATAATAATAATAAAATATACAGATTAAGAGTATTTCACATTCCTGACTCTCAGTAGTGAACAAGAACATGTTCTCAAAGGAATGAAAGAAAATATTTCCTTCATTAGTGTTTATTTGTAATCTTGTTAACAAGCTGTGCACAAGTTGTATCTGCCATCAGAGAAAGCTCATTTACTGGTAATAGCAATACCTGTGACAGGAGTTCGGTTTTTCAGCCTATCCACTTCCATAGTGAAGTCATCCTTCAGAAAAAGGAATCCAATAATGGAAAACAGGTAGACGAGAATGAGAGCCAGGACTGCAGTTAGAATAATAGAGCGGCCATTCCGTGTGACACTTTTTATGACATTGACCAGAGTCTCCTCTCTGTACACCAAATCAAAAAGCTACAAAAACAAAAAAAATAAAAACCAACAAAAAATTCAATGGAGTAAAAGGCGAATAAACATAAATATAATTAGAAATACAAATGCAACCATTATAGTTTATCTAAGAAAAAATAACCTAAACCACCTTAAAAATGAACCAAAAAAGAAAAAAAGAAAAAGAACCAAAATATTTATTTCTTCTTCTATGGAATGTATTAATAAACATTTGCAATAAAGATAAATTTAACACAGCATATAATGTACATTTATTGGTTTCATAACCAACATAGTATCAACTTACTAAGACATTATAGAAATAGCATAGTTTCAAATTCAAATTTAGAAAAATTATAATATTGTACTTAACCAGCTTAGCTATTCTTTATTTTTACTCTTACTGATATACTGCAGTTACTTTTGAAATATATAAAATGGCTAAAGTGAAAATGCTGAATTAGGTCCTCCTAAGTAATGAATAATTGACAAATTCATTGAATATATTATTTAATTAAGAGATTAGAGGTGAAATTTTAAGAACAATTTTATGAGGTGGTTGCAATAGAAAATGTACGAAATTTAAAAATATTTGAGAAATGCAAACATCTTTCCTTACTAAAAGGATATAATGAGAACAAAATGTATTACTTTAGTATATACTTTTGGAAACAGAAGTATATATAAAAACATAATACATAATTTTGCTAATTCGCTTTCTCTAACAGGCTATCATCCATTTTGTCTTTAGTAGCAGAAAAATCTATGCATTAGTCAAGAACTTATGTATTCACTATCTGTAGTCAACACTAAGAAAAATTTTATTTATTGCTACATTATAAAGTTGAAATTATACATTAGCTTTTATTATCAAAAGCTGGTTAAAAGAAATAAAATGACATTAACTTTTAAAAGGGTATAAATATCTCTCTGGAAATGAACAGTATTTTTAAAATTGGAATAATTGAAGTTTGTCTTCTGCTATCTGTGGGCAGTAATTAGAATTTCTGAACTGGCTGAAACAGCCAATTATATGTCATACATCCTTTCAGAAACACCAAGGCCTTGTTATATCTTTTTTTTCTGAGTACTGAGGGTTATACTGTTGCTTTCCAATTTAATTGTAGTGTTGCAAAGAATTGCTATACAGATATTAACTTGTTTGCTCACCTAAGGAAACTAATATTTTACAATGGTAAAATAAAAAAAAAAGTCTAACTGTTTTGCTGTTTATCTCCTGGAAGGAGCAGCCATCTTTAGAAATAAAGTCAATATTCTTCAGTACAGACAAATTAATGAATGCAAACGCAACTTCAAAATTGTTGACACTCTGGTTATTCAATTTATTTAAGCATTAAGTTGATGTACTGGAGACCTTCCTTTAAGTTAACTCAAGAGAGGCTTAAAGAAAAAAATCTGGCAAGGTGGTCTAGGTCAGCTCTAGAGAAAGTTTAGAGCTTTTGGAAGCCCCTGAGATGCTTGCTAAAAATTTATATTCCTGGGCCTCATTCTATGCCCATGGAATCAGAATTCTTTGAATGCAAAAGGTGTTGATATTGGACAGTGGATGGTTTTTTCTGTTTATTTCTGAAAGGAAAATCTAGAGTGTGATTTTTATCATTCTGGATAAAGGACTGACATTTGTGGGCACAATGGGGAATTCATATTCAAATATTTTTTTAAATAGAAAAAAATTTAAAATATGTTTAAACACCATTTTTCGTATTATGCACATTATAATTTCCTTCTAGTACTCTAAACATCAATGTCGACTATATACTTTTCACAACCAATTGAATAAAAAAATATTAGCATCAGTATTGTAAGATTTGACAAAGACCAGAGGAAAAGAAAACTAGAAAATAGGGTTAAGTAATATAAAAGTAACATTACTACTCATAACTTGTAATAATTTGAATATACCTTTATTTTGTTAAATACCTTTCCTTGGAAAACAGAAAGATTTACATTCAATATTTCACATTTTTCATATTATCTGTTTTAATGGATCTTGATATTACTGGTCTCCCATACTCTCCCTATGCATTGTATAAATAAGAAGGCTGAAGCACAAAATCATTATAGACTCATCAAATTGTATACATTAAATGTACATAGCTTTCTATATGTCAATCATACTTCAATAAAGTGGTTTAAAAACTATAGAATATTACATGTCATAGTTAGGTAAAAGGGCTGGGTATAATAGGACTTCATATATCACAGGCAAGTAAAAAATGGAATTTTTCTGGCGAATCAGGGCAGAGAGAGAAATCATTTGGCTTGCTGGAACAGAAAAAAAATCTACTGCTTAATGATCTACCTTAACCGCCTAGAAGGTAAGTTTGTATCAAAATATAATAGACAAATCCACTCTTCACTGTGGCTCTTTCAAGTGTTTGAGGGTAAATGAAAAATTGGCCTCCTTTCAGTCTTCCCACATAGGTGTGCTAGATAATGGGGAAACAGGAGATGCTGGATTTATCCCTCATGACCCAAGCAAACTGGGTCAACAAAATGTTTTTATGTCTTCCACTGGTTTTCAGGAATCATTATTTTGGACAGTGCTCTCTACTGCATGTCAACTATGGGGTGGAGATATAAACAAATCATTCCCGTATCATCATGATGTTAACCTGCTTTTTAAGTTTCAAAACATTATTGTATATTTGTATTGACTCCTCTCCTGGTTTATGGCTATAAAACAGTACACATGTAAAAAGGAAAACTGAGAACCAGGGTGGAAAGAGCCCTCTAGAAATAATCTGAAAAATCCATTTAATGAATTAAAGATATGCAGATAAGTTTAACAACAATGACATATTAAGCTCCAAACTTGTAAGACTGTATTTAAAACAACTCATTGTCTTTTTGCTAGGTTGACTCTTGATCCCCCTCATTCTACCGATATGCCATTCTAAAGATACAATTAGCTTTTGATATTATAAATAAAACACAATAATTTCAGTACCCAAGAAAATATATCCCTATTTTGTCTCCCACACTCTGTTGGAGAATCTTTAAATGCAAAGGGAAATATTATTTGGCTGAAACCAAAAGCAGCCTGTCATATGAAGCCTGGGTCAAGAGGTGGGATGGTTGGTTGCTTCTCAGAGAGGAGATAAAGAACTCCACCACCTATGTGGTTTCCCAGAGAAAAAGACTAAAAATGATAATAATTCATGCTTTTCGTAGGAAATTCTAAAAATAACATAATTTGTCCTAAATGTCAGGCCTTGTTTAAAAAAAAAAATCAAAGGAAGAGGCATAAGAAGCAGCATTGTGTATTTTTTCAGCAGTGACTGTCCACGTGGAGATGTACTCACCAGGAAGCTATAGAAGAATTCATGGACAAAGAGGCCCAGCATGCAAACCAGGACATACGCTACATGGTAGAGAAAGGCCACATCCAGGATGACAGCCCGGTACCCTCGGGTGAACGTGCCACGATTTCCAACAAAACTCACCAGAAATACTATTTTATTACAAAGCTAAAGGGAGAAAAAGATTAGAGATTACTGTCTTATTTATCCTGAAACTCACATAGATAGCAGGACATTGATGAAAACTATTATTCATAATGTCTATGATTTTCTATCATGATTTCTCATTTTGTAGTTTTTCAGCATTGCTTACAAATCTGCATGCAAACATAACACATGCAAAACTTGTATCCTTTGCAGTTCCAGGAACGGAGAGAATGATAAAGAGACCCAGGCATGCAACCAAGACAGGCCTGAATTTTTTTTTTTTTTTTATGAGACAAGGTCTCGTGTCACCCTGGCTAGAGTGCAGTGACATCATGGTGGCTCACAGAAATCTCAAACTCCTGGGCTTTAGCGATCCTCCTGCCTCAGCCTCCCAAGTAGCTGGGACCACAGGCACACGTCACCGTGCCCAGCTAATTTTTCTATTTTTACGAGAGATGGGGTCCTACTCTTGCTCAAGGTGGTCTTGAGCTCCTGAGCTCAAGTGATCCTCCTGCCTTGGCATCCCAGAGTGCTAGGATTATAGGCGTGAGCCACTGTGCCTGGCCCAGGCCTGAATTTTAATCCTGGCTCTTCCATTACTGTTGTGTGACCTAGTTTCATGCAACTGTAGGTCTTGACGGTTTCTCCTGAACAACTGGAATAAAAGAATTGCCACCTCATCAAACTCTTCAGAGGATTAAATGACATAATGCATATGAAGCCCTTAATGCAATGACTTTTTAAATATTACTTTTATTGTATTGTCTACATTTAAAGTAATATATAAAATGTTATTATGATGGAAATATAACACAAATATCTTTTCAGAAAATTTCCAGAGATTTGTCCTTGGTTCTTTTTATCCTGGATTTTCTCTACTAAGTATTATTTTAAACAAGTAAGTCTTTAAATTATTTTTGCATTTAATTAATTTTATATAGGAAATATAAATATTCTTATGTATCTGGGTTAAAATAAATATAATTCATGTTTATTTCTAAGTCCTATGTGTGGGTACTAATTCAATAAACAGTTTGAAGTGTTTATTATACCTTTGGCCATGTAGAGTGTATCCAAACTATATTTTATATTGCCTTTTGTGGCATAATTTTGGAACACAGAAATTTATACTGAGATTCTTTGGCAATAGCAATGATCTGTGCAATGATTTACAAAGAAAAAAATTATCATAAACGTGGTGTTATCTATTTGGTTCTAGAATCACTGCATTATTTATAAACCAAAGCACCAATTTTACCTCTTACTCATCAAGGAAAGAATTACAGATTGCAAGAGTTCATATAATAGTTTGTGCTTCCTACTTGTTCCCTGAGTTCTTTTGGTTATCTAATGGAACCATATGTGTCTTTAAATGTCCAAACCAGACTTTGGGAAAACAGGGTGCTCTTTGCACAGTGCTTTATGGAATAATTTGATTTTAGATAACCTAAGAAGGAGCATAACACTTTGAGGCAGATGTAAAAGTTAGAGTTTAGAAAACCTTTTCCTTCAAATTTCTGAAGTTCGAATCAATACAGATGAACTGAGAAACGAGTTATTATTGCATGTTGTGAAGAGCCAACCAAATTAACAACACAGCAACTAAAAAGGTCAAATCTTTCTTAAATTTTCCCCCTGCTGATGGATTAACTATCCTCTCCATAACCGATGTTATCACTCCATTCATCATCTTGTTAACAATTTCAATAACTTCAAACAGAAAGTTTTACTTTACTATTTAGTGTTTCATCATCAATAGTTTACCCTATTATTAAATATAGCTTTGGTACAATGGATGTCTTTATATTTACTGTCCCAGATCAAGTTTAATATTTTAAGAAGTCATTATTTAAAAACCCAGGAAATAAATAAAAGGTGCTGATCTCTATAAAGTATTTGACAATAAATACCCATGAAAATGGTGAAAAATAGAATGTCTTGCAAAGCAATATTCGGTAATTCGTTCTTTAAATTGTTGAGTGCCTATTATTTAAATCTGCCCTATTTACCTTGATTCACCTCCCATAGTACATAAATACGAAATAGAAATAAAAAATTCTATAAAATGTAAAATTGAAAATTGGAAGGTTTTCAGAAGGATGAATAATATGTTTAAGATAAATTGTTTACATGTTGTTTTCTGATCTCTAATTCTCTAAATTGAATCATAAAAATTATGCAGAAAAATCATTTGTAAACCCTATCTACCAAGGAAATATAATAAATTGAATTCAATTTCTCAAAAAGAGCAATACATTTCGCTTCTCCAATAATGCAAAAGCAAGGACACATTTCTGCCTAAAAGGGTCTCTGCCATTTTCACACAAAAAATAAAGATTTGCCTTATTTGTTTTTGGATTTTTGTATTTGTTCTTTTTGAACCTTGACCTAGAGCTTGACGGGTGGTTTCCTTTCTCTTCAGTAAGTCTCCACGTGGAGTGGAATTAGGACTGGTGGTGGCATTCACCTACTTCTGTCAAGATCAGAAGTAGGGAAATTGTTGTCCTTTTGTTTTTAAGTGTTCAGATCAAGGAGAAATAAGTGCCAGGAAAAATGATTTGTGTAGGAAAGAAACTGAACTCTGATTTCTCCCCCACCATGAAATTTACAAATTGTGTTTATATAGCATTTTCCATGAAAGCTGGGAATATTTATGCAGAGAATAAACAAGCTGCAAAATCCCTTTTCATGTCATGAAAACCTTGATGCTGTCTAACCAGTCCTTCATTTGTCAACACCATTATGTAGGCAATCATTGTTTCTATGGCAAGGGTCCACGTGGGTGACAATAACTGAAAGGTGTGGGAACTGGGCAAGATGGTTAAAAGCCCATGCTCTTTTGAGCTGGTGGTGAAAGGACCGTTGAGTCAACACACAAATACCAATACAAATGACCACAACTGACAACCCAGATATTCTTTTCTTTCTTCATCTAGTCTTCAAAGCTGCCCTTAATACAGTTTTTGTTCCAGATGGGGTGAATTGTGTGATGCTAGGGAAAAAACGGGATGGCAGAGAAACAGCATCAATGTAAGCTTTCTGGACAGTCTTTAAAAAGTGATACACCATCTAAATGATTTACCATAGTTCTTCCAAAAGCAAAAGCAAAATTAATGTTTGTTTGTTAATATATACTATGCTAAAGCAATTATTAATCATTAATTTTAATAAATTATTCAGTTAAGTAGCATTTTCATGTATACTTTATAGTTTATTGCTATTAACATGTCTTTGCAGGACTGTTAACAGTCCAGTATAGTGGAAAGACATGGAAAGAGGGCCAGGTGGCTTCCAGACGTGGCTCTGGCGCTACTTGCTTTGATAAAGCCTCCTGGTCTCTATAGGACTCTGCTTTCTCATATTTAAAATGAAATGCCTAGAAGTGAATAATCCTTAAGGTTCCTGATAGCTCTAGAATTCTATGTGATGTCCTTTAAATGTTACTATTTTGTGATCACAAAAATTTATAGCTGCCATGTCTTCTTCTTTATATTATTCTTTTGGTCTTATTTGGTACTCTGTCCCTGATCAGGAATTCTATCTCCATCTTACATTGTTCCTATGGGAAAACATGACCTGTTTTACAGGAATAAATTGTAGAAAGAAAATAAAAAGATTGTCTTCATACTTATTGGTATGTAAAAACTGAATTTATGATCTTCAACTCCATACCATATTTTCATCAACCACGTAAATCAACCTTCTTACTAAAAATATGATTTGATTTAAAAATCTCCATTTCAGTGGTATTACATTTTAGGTAGGATACGATTCTAAGGTCAATGTGTAAGGCAAAATTTGTGTACAGTCAAAATCACCCTGGAAATCTTTTAAATTGCAAAAAAGAAAAAAAGTACAGTAAACAAAGGTGATATAAATGGTAGCATCTCTCACTAAATTCAGCACATCTTTATTTTATTCCAGCACTAGAGCAGTTTTTTATTTTTGCAACTGAATACTAGAAGTAGTTAGGGGCATTCAGTGACCACATTACATGAAAAAAGGGCATGTGTGTGTGTGTGTGTGTGTGTGTGTGTGTGTGTGTGTGTGAGAGAGAGAGAGAGAGAGAGAGAGAGAAAGAAAGAGAGAGAGAGAAAATGGGGGAGAGAGAGAGAGAATATGAAAGTTTTGACTCAGACTATATAATTTAATTAGTATGTTAAGTGAACATACGGTAGGACTCAGTCTTATGGATTAGCAGTAACATGGAACTCCCAGAAAACTATCTACATACAGGTAAGTAGCTAAGGACATGATGCCCCTATTACATTTGACCACGATGACTTATTGTTAATAGACTGGCTATCTACTAAACTCCTCTCTGCAAAATGGTGAGACCGAGTTATTAAATAAATCACACATTTCCAGAAATTACTAGAAAAGAAAAAAAAATGCTGTAGATAAAAATTGTTTAGAAGATATTAAAAGATATTTCCCTGATATTTTTTGCATTATTATTTATTATAAAAATATCTAAAAATCTAAATAACAAATTAACAGAGTAATTAAAGAGATTATATAATGTCCATATGACTGGAAATATTATAGTTATTAAAATGAGGTTTACAAATAATTTTAGTGGTATGAAAAAAATAAAGTGACTCCAAATTTATAAAATGTGTGCTTATATTTGTCAGAATAATATATTAATTTCCATTACCAATAACTAACCATGCAGTGTAGCAGATGGGAAGAAAACTATTCTGGGTAATAAGACGTATTTTATAGCATAGAAAAAAAAAAACCTTTGAATTTATTGAGACTTCTCAAGTATTGAGATAACTCCTATGACAAGGTAAACCAGTTGAAATCTAGACAAAACTTAAAAAATTTTAGAAATGGAAAAAAACACTAAAAATGGAGCACCATAATAAACAGAAACTGGTAATACTATTGGTAAGTGCTCAGAACACAGATCGAGGGCTTTCCTCCCACTTGATTCCTTTTCCAAAAAAGGGACTTTCTGCATTTGCTGAACATGGTGAAAGAATCCAGAAATAAATAACTCCCTGTTAACACTTTTGTAATCATGGTAGCAATGTTTTGCAACTGAATGGTGCTTCACATATCTGACACTTGGTAAATGGTAGCCAATATTACCATTGCATCATTACCACTGTTATTCTCTTATAAATCTTCCACACTAATCTTCTCAACAACCTGGTGAGGACAGACCAGGCTTTAATATCTTCTTTTCACTGATGAGAAGAATGAAATTCAGAGGCTTGTTGATTTGCCTGAAGTCTAGAATTCTGATTCTCATTAAAGCAAAACTGTCAGGTAGATGTCTTCTTTTGCTTTTCCTGTTTCTGATACCTATAATTTTAGCACTTACAGTTTCACCTGTTACACAATGCAAACTTTTACATGTAAATTAAGTTAATAAACATATTAAAACCTAAGGTATAAAACATTACTGATTTATGTTTTCATTTATTTTTTTTTCGTGCCTCTTGGGCAATGGTAAACCAATTGACACCTCTGTAATGAATCTCTCATGTTAGAAGTTAAGGTAGATGACATTTGCTAAAAAATTTTTATTAATCCACATAATATTAAAATTATAGGTAATTTTTCTGCTAATATCTACAATATAAAAATCACAATTATTCCATTGAATTTGTTCCTAAATCAAAGTTGACTATTTTCCTTGGTCAAAATGACCTGGACCATAATGTATCATCCGGCTGTGAAAACAGTTTTATGCTGTGAAGGGTATTAGAATACCCACAGATTCATGTAGTTAATAAGATAGATACATATATATACATGTGTATTCTTTCTCACAAAGAAATTGAAGTATAAAACTTGCCCCTCATTTGAACAGTCATTTTTCATGGTGGAATTATTCTCAGCAAACCAGGCAGAAGTTATCTTTTTATCCTGTCCCATAACGGGGGAAAGAAAAGTACTCCAAATGTTTTTGGTTTCCCCCAATAAACAATAGAATGTTATTCCCTATCTCTTTATATATTCTTGTTCTGAAGACAAAGAAAATGCAAATTGGTGAGTCTGACATATCAGCTTCTGGATAGCAAGAACCATATCCTCTACCTCGTGGTATTTTTTCTGCCTATTATATAACAGAGGCCCAGTAAATGTTTGTTATTTTTGGCCCAACTCTAGCTATTATTTCACTTGTCAAACGTGGATTTTTTTTTCACTTATATTAATGTCTTATTGAGGGCCAGTTACCAGTTTTATGAATATTATTTCCTTCTTCAAGTAATACGGTTCAGTATTCAATGTATTTTTTTTTAAAAGCCAAACACATAGGTTTAGAAAAATTTAGATGAATTCATGAAGATTCTATAATTAGCTTGGTTGGTAATATTGCAAAATATGGTTATTTCCAAAGCATTGAAAGTACAAGTTCAGTTCATGTGAACACTTTTCGAATGTTTAAATGTCATCTATTAAGGAAGAGAAAACAGAGTTAGCAGAGAGTGAGGAGTGTAGGTTTATAAATATGAATGTGACAACTTCTGCTCTCAAGAAACTTACAGAAGAGTACATTGGGTGCTTTACAAAATTCTTTACTGATAGACTTCTTTGTATGAATAGTACATTTCCCTTTAAGGACATGATTGAGGATAATCGGTAATTTGGTTGTCTGAATGTTCTAGTTAATTGGGATCTGTCATATCTATCATGTCCAATTTTTAAAGAATTATAATAAAATAGAGGTCACAAACACTGAAACATGGAATTGGCCATGTTAGCTCAGCTTTATAATTCTCAAAAATTTCGCTATTTCATTTATTCATTATCAGTAAATATTTGTCACATATTTTATGTCCAAGATGTCCTAAATGTACAAGAATACGAAGATAATCATTCACTCACTTATTCATTCTCTCTCTCATTAGTTAATTTATTTAAGAAATATTTACTGAGTCCCTGTGAAGTTCTAGACATTGACCAATCATTATGATTTGGAATGGTATAATGTAGGAGAGACAAGCCCTAACTACAGATACTAGACTACAGGACATCATGTTGGAAAGCCAGTAAAAAATAGCAAGTGCTTTAGGTATTCAGCAGACATATAGCAATATTTATTTGCTTACCTGGACATTTGTTATTTCATCAACCTGATGATTTACCTTTTCTTAATATGCCTTGATGGCTCTGTCACGCATAAAGTGGCTAGTCCCCTTAACATTTTATTTCTTGAGTAAAATTATTTCTATAAATGTTATCACTTGCTTTTCGAAATAGTACTCTGGCTTACTTATTCTAAACTTGCCTAACTCAAGCTTAAAGATGCACTGCCTTGTTCTTATATTTCAAAATTTGGTAGAAAAAAATTAATCTCATCTATGCCTTTTATAAGTTTATAGGATTTGTTCACATAAAAAGAGCCCAATTTCATATTTTCTCATAGAGCAACCCTTTTTCTTAGGTCATTTGATAAAAGGTACTCACTTCCAAAATTCTACTGAATATAATTTAATCTTTCCTGGATTATTTGGATGTCACTTTAGGACGTTAACAGTGGCTCAGAGTCATTTTTTCCAATAGCTGCAGGTATAGGATGCAGAAGGCACTAAAATTGGATTGCATTAAATTGATGGCAGAACTGGGTGATGCCCCAAATGTTACCTTCTTAAAACCAATCAATGTTTTTACTTGTAATTTTTTTCTTTCTCTCAAAATTAAATAAAGAATTTACAAATTGTACTCTGGTTAATTTAGATTCACAATAAATTAGAATTCACTGTGTATAAATGATTTAAAAGCATATAGTAACATTTTTATATTTTATACATTTTTAACTAATTCTATAACAGTAAAAAGCTAAGTAAAGTACTTACATTAGCTGCACCAAGAAGTATTAATGTAGGCCCAAGACCTATTGTATATATCGATCTGAGCATTACTGATACAAGAAATGGCCGAATACCCACAGGCTTGGAGAAGAAAAACAACATAGATGTGCAGATCGCAACTGCTATCCAAAGAAGAACCGAGAACAATGGAGAAAGTGTACCTGTAAAATGTGGAAGAAGTTTATTTTTACTGAGAACGAAACTAGAAAATGCTAAAATATTTGCTGCTTTATATGCTACAGGAAGTCGAGCCATAATGCACTGAATTTCAAAACAATCCTACTCTATATTTCGAGGATATATCTTTGAACACACTATTCATTACTATATTTCCAAAAAGCAAGTCTGAGAATTGTTCATTTTTCTTTCATATGGAAGTGATTTGCTAAATATTTTGGATAGACCTATCCCATTTGGGAAACTTAATTCAAAATTTATGATTAATGACCATTAGATGTGCAGCTAAATCATGTGAAATCAGGAACTTTTTCATTGAACTCACACCTCGTCTTGTTTTATTATTGTCAAGTTTCCATATTATAAATTCCTGTGAAGAATCCACTACGTAGAATGCCCAGTCTTTATAAAACACACACAAGCTTTAACCGTTAAAACACACGTATGTGTACAAATGCATATGTATGAGCATGTGTATCTGAAGACACCTCAAGTTCAAAAAAAAAACATTGAGCCATTTAATCATCAAAAAACAAAAGTTCCAAATGTTTTAAAATGAACTCCATTACAAACAAAATGTCTTAGGAACTGCCCTAAAATGAGACTTAAAAATACATTTTCTTAAAAAGAGGTACAATTCGTTGACATGTGCACTGACATGTATTCAAGGAATCCCCCTCTGAAGGTCACGCGGTGCTGCATGGGCAGAAGAAAATTAAGGGGCAACATTCTCGGGCTGACTGGATCAGCTCTGGGACCGCAAACGCGTGTCTATAGGCTGACATAGTCACAGGGGAAACAAAAAAATGAGATTTTCCACTACTTCCTTTGGCAAGTATTCCATAATGGTTCTTATTCTTTGGGCCACACCTCTTTTTATTATTTATAATATTTACTACTGCATGCCATGCAAAACACCTTGAGGGCTTTGATGTACAGAGCTTTCACGCTATCAAAACCCTGCCTCCTTAATTCTGCACAAGCCTTTAGCTCATAGTGGTGCTAACAGATCTCAAAAGTAGGTAGGAAGATCCTGTCAGATGTTAAAAAACAACAAACAAATGAGATAGTGAACAGCATTAGTTTAGATATGTTTATTTTTACCATGTTCTTACTATGTTGTCTCTTAAAGCAAACAATGAGGAAAGAAGGTTGGAAAGAAAGGTTCGATCTTCCCTCTCACCGAATTTATGATCTGAGTAGATTAATTTGGAGATGGGGAAAGAAAAAGTATAAACTTGCATTGAAAGTTACCTTTGATTCCCGTCCTCTGGCAATGCTAACAAAATGGTACCCTATTCACATTTATTACACTGTCAGTTTGGAAGCACTCTATGTCTCCCAAAATACAGCGTGACCTTCAACTGCCTTGATTTCACAGATCTCAAAGAGCCATAGAGAGAACAATGCCTTCAACCTTCTCTCTTGCTCATTGGGACTTGAGACTATCAGAGTATAAGCTCCATAAGGGTGAGGACCTGGGCTTACCACAGTGCCTGTTATGCAGCAACAAATAAGTATCTGTTGATTAAGTAAATGCACAAAAACACACTCTGTGAGTTTGTTTTGAGGAATTAACTAAGTTTCCCGTTATAAATTCCCCAAGTTGTTTACCTTCACTTTTAAGTATACTAAAACTGTCAACATCTTTATATAAACTTTCAGCCAGTCATTCGACTTGTCAATATAATTCATAAGTAATGTCTTGGTGTGACAGTCTTATTCTAGAAGTCCCAGATTCAGCACAGATAGTCACACTGTACTTTGTCATTAATGCCTGATAAGCTAGCCACATCTTCACTATTTTTTCCAGGACAGTATCTGGCTCGCTGAGATTTCCCCTCAATTAAATGAGAAATTATAGCCATGCACTTAAAACTGGGTGTTTGATCCCTTTGTAAAAAGAACTCAGAGAGTGTCTAGCACAGTACCTTGCACATAGTTTAATGCTAAATATGTAGTGTGGAATGAATAAACTATTCCACATATTTATGTTTACTAGCTATTTAAAACACCTATTAATTGATAATAATGTTTATAATTATCTTCTGTAAGAATGATAATATTGGTTTCTTTCTGATGATTCAATGCTAAAAAAAAAAACTGAAATCTCTCTGACAAACTCTAGAGAAGACAGTACAGATTTTCAAAGCAATATTTACCCATTAATGACAGGAAAGGGAGAGTGTTTTCTCTCCTGAACTTTATATTTGTGTCAATTTTATATAATGAACATGTATTATTTTTATAATGGAAAAAATTTTTAGAATTTACCCTATATATCTTTAATTTTTAGAAAGTATGGAGTTTATCTTTTATAAAAGAAAATTCAGACAGCAAAATTGGAAATTTCAATTCACATAATGGAACTCTGCTATCTATGTCATGCTGACTTCATAGTTTACTGTATAGAACATGCTTCTTCTCACTTCCCCATCTCCTGTTCTTCCTCTGCTTCCCACATAGTCTCAAAAGACTTCCTGTTTCCTCTACTTCAGTTCAGTTGGAGTAGACATCCATCCATAAATCCACGCATAATCTTTAGTACTGTACCTTATTCATTTCTTGGTCCCTTAACTAGACCGTGAGCTCCTTAAGACAAGGACAGGTTTACTAATCTTTGTATTTCTAGGGTCTAGCACAGTGCCTGGCATATAGTAGCACTCTATCAATAGTTAAGTTAAATGAATTGAAATCACCTTGAAGAACTTTATTGTCTTTAACACAAAGCATTTGATGGAAAAAAGAATTGCACCCCAAATTTGAATATGATTTTTTAAAAAATTACATGCTGTCTTGGTATAAGCAATTCCCCTGGTATCCGTTTTCTCCACTACCTTGTCTGCCTTCGTCAAATCCAGGCTAGGGATTGTCGGCATGGCAATTTTCAACTTCTGAGTGGACATCTAGGAGATTTCCTGGCATCAACAACTGTGCTATATTACACAACATCTGTACAAGTTTCTTTTTTAGAGAAGCATATGTTAAACAAACAAATAGCCACAAAAACCAATCAACCACAGAAACCAAAACCATAACCTATAACCACAAAAATAACCCCTGGACCCTTGAATAAATTCAAATTGAACCTTCAAAATCTGGCAATGAAAGGAGATTCTCTATCTGCAGCAGAGGGTGGAGGGTGCCCCCAAAACTGGTCCTCTGAGAAGCATCTTCATCTTCCCCTTAAATATCTTCCTTTAGTTATTGTACACCACTACACTGGTTGAAGGGAGACACCACTCTCTCATTTACAATTTAACCCAGATATTCGAACCAGATATTTGGGCACAAGAAACTCCCAGGAGCTCAGGTGTTATCATGCTGGAGAACGTGCTAGGAGATGGCGCACACAGCTCACCCCCTCTGCCAGCCCCTTTGTTCTCACTGCCACATTGGCCTCACTGATTCTGGAGCAGCAGGTATTAGGGTCTGGGTTGGAAAGGGTGGCACATTTTAACCAGGGGTTTTTTTTGGCCCAAGATTTACCAGGTGATTTCATGATCAAATTCTATACCCAGAATCATGGAACTTCAGGGTTGGATAGAATTCTTATATTTATTAATTTTTTTTCTTTTTAAACTTTTCAAAACTCCTTGAGATTTGAGTAACAGTTGCCAAAATAATGTAAAAATTCCCAAATATCCTTCACCTAGATACCCCAAATGTCAATACCTTACATAACCACATTACAATGATCAATATCAGGAAATTAACATTGATAGACCACTTTCATCTAATCTATCTACTCACAGTTGGTCAACGGCCCAATTAGTGTCCTTTTTCTAGACCAGGATCATATCCTAAATTTAGTTGTCATGTGTCTTTAGTCTCTTCTAATTTGGACAGTTCCTTAATCTTTCTTTGTCTTTCATAAGCTTGGCACCTTTGAAGAGTCCTGTCCAATTATCTTGTAAAATGTCCCTCATTTTGAGTTTGTCTGAAATATCCTCAGTTTGTTCATTTTTGGCAAATGATGTTATGTCCTCGGCAATGTACTGTATCAGGAGGCACATGAGGTTGCTGTGTCTCATTGCTGGTAACATTAATGTTAATCCCTTAGTTAAAGTGATTTCTCTTTTTTCACCTTACAGTTACTATTTTGCCATTTGCAATTAATAAGTATATTGTGGGGAGATACTCTAAAACTATGTCATATCCTGTTTCTCATTATATACTTTTTATTAATAGCCACCCATTGATTTTAGCACCTGTTGATAATTCTTCCTACTATGATGTTTGCCAAATGGTGACATTCTATTTCCATCATTCTGTCTACATTGTATTAATTGAAATACAGTTACAAGGAAGAGCTTTCTCTTCTCACTTATCAATATGGGCTCCTGGATTTTTATTTTATTCTATGTGTTATATTACTGTCAATAATTTTTTCTCAAAATTTTTTCATATTTGACCACTGAGAAGCCTTCCAATTTGGATGTTGTGTTCTATAACATATCCCCCTTATTTTTTGAGCACTTCTTGGAGGAATTTTAACCCACCTTTAATCTAATCAATCTTTATATCACTTCAAAGTGCTCCTGGCAAACAGTCATCCTGCCTGTTTAACAAAATCCAGCATCAGAGAACTTTCGTCACCAGCACAGAATTTTCCTTCTCCGGACAGTTCTGATAGCCAAGTGTGCGTATCAGTCTTGGCTCTGTTTCCTCAGCCTTCCTAGCAATGCGTTGTTTTGAGACTGAGGTTTAGAGACTGAGCTCATACTCACCAAAATGTTACCCTTTTTCATAGAATTCATCCAGAACTATAATCAGATGACCCAGACACAGCCTTGGGCTTCCACATTGCAAACATGGCAGTTCATGCCTTCCCTTCCCTCTAAGCACCACAGCTACTCAGATACCCTAAGACTGAGCCTCTACCTTGGTTACTACTGTTAACTTCCATCCAATTGTTTTTCAAGGGTCAAGTTTGCCACTGCACCCGATGATGGGCCACCATGTTTTCCAGTCTTGTGTTTGTTAGTCCTATTTCTTTCTGAGGCTGTAGCCTTACTCCAAATTCTCTTAAATATGTGGTTTCAAGTCCTTGTTCAAGCACCAGTTGCATGAGCAATACCTCGTGAAAGTATTAAAAAATACATATTTCTGGACTCCAGTCCCAAATTATTAGGCAAATATTAAGCCTCTGCTGCTCCATCCATAAGAATTTAGTACTCTATAGGTGTGTCAGGAAGATTAAGTGAAATTATGTTTGTGAAGTGCTTAGAATTTTGCCCGACCCAATCTACATGCTAAACAGCATCAGTTGCTGTTATTACTATCGGTATTACTGTTGTAACTATTATTAGTCAGGCAAGTACTGAAAACATACCAGGTGTTCTGCTCTCTTCTGAATGAGTAAAGGGCAACGGTCCAGAGGGGTGGTGTTTCCCGCCACTATTATATTTCATGTACAATAGGTGGCAGCAGAGGCTATATACATTGGCTCTAATGATCAAGAAAGGGATATCGTGGAAAGGAACTCAGGGACACTTAGGTCCTGTATGAAGGGACACCTGTTATCAACATGCTTCCAACCCATCCACTCACGGAGAAAGGTTCTACATTGGACACAAAGTGTTAGTCTTCTACTTTGAGGTCTGCCATTTTTTAGGCTTTCTGGGCTTCCATCTCTTCCTCTGGCAAATGAGGGCTTGATATTAAATGATTTCCAGAATTGCTTTCATCTCTAAGGCTTTATGCCTCTATTAACCAGGACTCTACAATCTTTTCAGCATTCTGTGTGCAGAAGATACTAATTTATCATTTCATACTGGACTGCCCTCCTCACAAGATGTTGTATTCTTCTGTGTCAACAGTTCATCACTTAAAGGAGACTAAACACAGTGAAGAGAAAGCTGTTTCCACTGCCTGGTGTATTTGCTGCTTCTCCACAATGGATGGCCAAATATTTGCTACATTTTTCACTGTTACCTAACTCACACATCCATTCCATTGCCCAATATTCTTCTTTTATCATTGGCATCACTTCCAAAAAAAGCGGTTATTCATGACCACTGAGAAGACAGCAAAAGTTTAGAACTTTGATATCTATGTTGCCCGTAATGAACCCGTACAAGAGCAAATTCCCCTGGAAGTCCCAATCTCTTCCCTGCCCTCCTCCAGTTCATCTGAAATAGGCTTAAATACCTGTTGCTCTCATCATGTCTTCTTTTTACTAGGCTTCCCCCTACGCTATAAATATTTACTTTGCACCAACAACAAGTAAACTTTACCAAAAGCTTGCCAGGTACTCTTCTAAATGCTTTACCTGTAGCACCTCATTAAATTCTCACAATAATCCCACGAACAGATGAGATACGAAAGCATCTCATGGTTATTAATTGCTGATTTCTCTCATCTTTTCTTTCCATGCCTTTCCAAATTTACTTACCTGATTATATCCCAAGCCTGTAACATATTTTCCCACGCACTTTGCCAAACTTAAACAAAACTTTTCCCAAAGTCCTACCCTTCAGCATATTTCTTCTCTATCTCCCATTTCAGTTAAAATGGTATAATTTTTCTTGTCTTTGCTTTTGTAAAATCTCATGTATTATTAGTTTAATAATATTAATTTCATAGTCAATATCTTTTATTCTATATTATTATATTCTGTCTAATACTGTACATTTTTGAAGCCTGAGATTATTAATATTTAATTCTATTTATTATCCCTGATACAGTATTACAGAATTAAAATTTTATTTTTATTTCCAGACAAGACAGAAAGTGAACAGAAGAAAGTAAAATATAAATGTGACCGTTTAAGGCAATCACAATTAATATTTGGGCACAAAACTCTCCTTCACGTAACTGAGATGATACAGTATAAAATGCATTTGGTCATAATAATTAGGTAGAGATAATAAAATTTTTCATTGCTTCATTTGCTAATACATAATATAGCTCTAGTAACTAGTCTATAAATGCGCTTTTTGAAAAGTAACATTTCTATTGACCATACTTTTCTGCCTACTCTCATACTCTACTTTCAATAAATACAGAAAAATCTATTTAATAGGAATTTAATTATTCTTATTTTGAAGATCTAAATAGTTAAGTTGGAACTTTAAAATATTTATCATTTAAGAAAAAAACAAGCACTTGCCTTCATCTCCATCATCCCCAAATGGGTAGAAAAGAGCAACAGCTAAATTGATGAACACAGCCAGGTTGAAGGAGATGCTCCCCCAAAGAGAAATGTGCCTTGAGAACCAGAACAGGGCAGGGTTATCTAGGAAGGGAGAAGTGCAAGAAAACAGAAAAGAAAAACAAATTTTGGTTTCTACACATGAGGCTTACTAAAATAATGTTCTATTAAATGCATCACTTTTGTAAACTATTATAAAAGTTTATCTAAATAACATTTAATACGACTTATTTTAGAACATTTATTAAAAACAATCAGTACCATAAGGGAGGTTTCTATTTGATTCCTTCTTTCATCCTTTAGCCAGTTTACAGCTAAACCACTATGGAAAGGTGAGTAATTCTGCAGTTACTAAAGGTGGACAGAAAAGGTGATTCTGTAATAATTCTTTCTAATCTATCCCCAGAACAGACTAGGGGGAAGGCAGTTTAGCAGCTGCCTGGGTCCCCTTTCAATGGAATGACATACGTCACTGCACAGTTTGGTAATGTTGATACATTGGTCCCATTCCCATGCCTTAAAGTCAAATAAAAAACCCAAACCCCTAGCACAGACATATCTCTAATGAAAATTTCTATGACACGGTCACAGTTACCTGGAACTCTGAAACCTAATAACATGGCATTGTACTACTTACTGGGAACTAGTGATTTATAATATTAACTACATTTTAAACCTTAATGCTTCCTAAGAACTTGTTGGGTTTGAAACAGCAGAAGACAATGAAAGCTATCATAAGAACTACTAATAAGTGGGAAAGGCTTTGCTGAATATTTTCAGAAAAGGGACTTAGTGTCTGCCATTGCAAATGAATTAGTAAATGTATCTACTGAATACAGTTTACATTAACTGAAAATCAGTTCTTTCCACCTCTGCTAAATAATTGAACAGATAACATAAAGCACAAAAGCTTGAATGGGAGCCAAATTTATTAGCCTGCCCTGGGCACCCACCTGGCCCCTTCAGGTCTTGTCCGTTCTCTAACTTGTAACATCTTAACACCAGAATTAAAATACTTGAGTTAGTCAAGGGGGAAAGGCATATCGATTTTCAAATAGAAATTATAAACTTTCCAGATATAGCCTGTGAATTTCAATCTAGTTCGCTGCTTACTTCCCTTTAGTACATCTTACTTTTCTTCTCTTGGAATGGAACATTCCAACACTGGAATACGCTATCATTAACTATGTCCTTTAACTGACTAACATATCATAAATTGTAAACATCTGCATCTCTATCATTCCTGAATTAGCAGTCCTCATTTTTAAAGGCAGACTTTTCAGACAAAATTAGAAGATATTGATGTGTTTATTTGTAATAACAAATCCTTACTTTATAAATCAACCAAATGAATTAGATTCTGCCTATAACCTCATAATAGGCTGCTTCTAAGTTTTTAAGTAAAATGTACATTGGAAATTATTTGAAGATTTATTTTTTGATAAATGACAAAATGTATTTTATCAAGAAAAAGCACAGACCCCACAGCATTAGTTCATTATTCAATTTACTTTTTTGTCAAGGAAAAATGTAAGTTTTTCAAATGCCCCAAATAAAAAATCATTGAGTCTTCATATGTATTTTGGATACCCAAAATTTTTACTAAATTCCATAAGGCCGTACATGGTAAAATGCTAAGGGACAGAGATTTCTTTCTTGATTTTTTTCCAAACATTCTGCTAAGAAAGCCTGAAAATGCATACCACAATCCTAACCTCAAAGACAGTATTTCTCAAGCTCCATTCAAATTCATAAATCATACCCATTAAAGTACCTCAAAAACTAGAACAATGAAACACTGTTGAATAGAGTTATTAAGAATATATAGGCCGGGCGCGGTGGCTCACGCCTGTAATCCTAGCTCTCTGGGAGGCCGAGGCGGGCGGATTGTTTGAGCTCAGGAGTTTGAAACCAGCCTGAGCAAGAGCGAGATCCTGTCTCTACCAAAAATAGAAAGAAATTAATTGGACAGCTAAAAATATATAGAAAAAATTAGCCGGGCATGGTGGCGCATGCCTGTAGTCCCAGCTACTTGGGAGGCTGAGGCAGAAGGATTGCTTGAGTCCAGGAGTGTGAGGTTGCTGTGAGCTAGGCTGACGCCACGGCACTCTAGCCCGGGCAACACAGTGAGACTCTGTCTCAAAAAAAAAAAAAAAAAAAAGACTATATACCTGCTTGTCTGGAAAACTTCTCCAAAAGACAGAAAAGACCTACCCAACAGTTTCCCCCATCAATTTTTGTTAAAATGCTATCTCTTATCTGGGAAAATAAACTAAACTTTATTTAAATTTTTTAAATTTACAATTTTGAAATTCAGCATTTCCAAATAGATTTGAGACCTACGATACAAGTAAAGGGAACTGTATTAAGCTGATTCTTAACTGTAAAATTATAACATTACTCTATTTAAATACAAGTATTACAAAATGTGTAGCTTGTTTGGTCTGGGGAGGTAAAGATACGTTAAAAGAATCACTCTCAGAAAATCATTAAACCATCTACTCAATCATAGGACAACAGAGGAAGAGCATCTGGTGCAGATGTCTCTCCACCCTATTCACTGATTGTTAAGGCCAGTCAGGGCCCATTCATGGACTTCAAACCAGCAGCTGTTCAACAGTTGAAACATACAGCTGCGACCCTGCAATTCATGATATTTATTTAAAAAATAGGATCATCACTAAAAGATGATCTAATTAGTCCAGGCTTTCTGTTTTCATTAAGCTGCAGGTGTCTCGGCTCTAGTCGTAGACTAAGCTGATGCTCTTAAGCCTACAAGTGATTTCAGTAACAGCAGACTGGCAAGAAATTAAAAAACAGCTTAAATGAATTGCCATCACGTGTTCCAAAATGCCAATTTATCTGCCATTATGCACAAAACTAACCCTTTCGGTTTATTGTACTTACTCCTGATTTTCTTCTGCCACTTCATTTCATTGTAGAGATCTTCTGTTTGCTGGAAAAAGTCATTCACTTTACTCCCTTGCTCATCCCTTTCAGTTGTATTGAACACACGGCACTTGGATTCTCGAGTGAGATATTCACATATGTTGGGAACAGGAAAAACTATTTGCTCCATAGTCCTATCATGTCGAACAATCTGAAATCATTAATTCACATTCATTTTTAGCCTTCTGGACACCTTGATCTTAAGAGTATTTTTTCTTCTTAGCATGAGTTTATCGATGACATTTTGTAAGTTCAGTTGTAAAAAATACGCCAGCTTGCAATATCTAAAATAGTCCTTGACTGTTTTTTCTCTTTAAATAGAATAAATTAATTGACTGATATATCATAAACACTATACCTTGTTACAAATAACAAAAACTAAAATCTTTCTTTCTGTACTGATCTGTGGCCTGTTAGGAACAGGGCCGCACAGCAAGAGGTGAGCAAGCGAAGCTTCCTCTATATTTACAGCCGCTCCCCACTGTTCACATCACCACATAAGCTCCACCTCCCGCCAGATCAGCGGCAGCGTTAGATTCTCACAGGAGCGAGAACCCTACTGTAAACTGCACATGTGAGGATCTAGATTGCGCGCTCCTTGTGAGAATCTAATGCAGATGATCTGAGGCGGAGCTGAGGTGGTGATGCTAGCACTGGGGAGTGGCTGCAAATACAGATTATCATTAGCAGAGAGGCTTGACTGCATAATAAATGTAATGCGCTTGAATCATCCCGAAACCATCCTCCTCATACTCCCCTGGCTCCATTGTCTTCCATGAAACCAGTCCCTGGTGCCAAAAAAGGTTGGGGACCATTGCTTTGTATCATTAAAATGGTCTCCTATTCACGGCAAAACATATTTTTGTAAGTATAATATCCATTTAAACATATACCCATATGTAAGTATGCATCATTTTGAACCTCCCTTATTTGTTATTTGTGACCATTTAACTTTAGACAAAAACCAGACTGAATATTTTCATATAGCTTCACCATGTAACAAGGGTTTATATAGCCTAAATTTTAAGGTTCATATTTATATACAGTGTCTAGTCCTCAGGAATTAATAAGGATTGGTCTAAGCCAGAAGAGTAATTCTATTTCCCCCGCCACTGACTGGTGTGGTGGTGGGCATGCAACCTGGTTCTGGAAAATGAGGCATAAAGAGAAATCTCCTGGGGGAGCTTCCAGGAAAGAGTTTGCTTCCTAGTAAAGGCAGAGCCACAGATAGACACAAAATAACAAAAACTGAAATGCACAAAACACAAGTTCTTTTTTGCCTGTACCCTCTTTCTTCTTCCTTAGGACAAAAGGTACTATAAAAGTGTGATGCTTGAAACTTTGACAGCTGTTTTGGAACCATGAGATGACATATCACCAGCATGGTAAGGAACCTGGCAGAAAGTGGGACAGGCCTGTGTGTCTGAAGACATCACTGAGTCACTGAATCAATTATAGAACTACTGGTACCTCCAGACTTCCCATAAGATAATAAAATATTTTTATTATTTCAACAATTGTCAGTCTAGTGGTCTATTAAACTTGTAACTAAATGTATCCTAAATGATATGTTATATATTCAAACTACATACTAGAATACTGTCATAAAACAAATAAGATGAAATTTAGTAGTGGTAAATAAAACTTCCTGTACATAGGTTAAAAAATTAACTGTACAAAATAATTGGACATATTTGATATGAAAGACAACCATACGGAAAAAAAGGTTTGATCCAATAGTGTTGAATATTTAAAAAAAAGTCTCACCATGCATTAAAGAAATAGTATCTTGATGATTATAAGCCAAGCTACTCAGTCCCTTTATGAAACATCACGTTTGATTCTAGTTGTCACATTTTACAAAGGGCATTGACAAACTGGAGGGATTAATAAAGGAAATGGAAATGTGCTAGCTGAAAAAACCCAAATATGGATAATTTTTCAATATATTTATTCAACAAATGTCTATTCAGTCCTAGATGCGGCACTTTGGGGAATTCAATGTGATAAAACAAGAATCCCAATCTAGAAGAGCTTGCAGTTTAGTAATCATGATGGTTCTTCAAATATTAGAGCCAAACTCTCATGTTGAGAGATGAGCAAATGTTCTGAACAGTGGGTGAACACTAAAGTAGGCTAATGTGAACTCTTTAGCTTTAAAACATTTCTCGTTATTAGTTGTTTAAAATTGGATCAGTTTCCTCCTGAAGGAGTGAGATCTCTACCACAGGAAGAATTTAAAGTAGAAGCGGATCACTACTGGGCAATTCTTTCTTGGAGAGGGGATTAGACACACGGCCCTTCCTATTTCCCAGGGTCTTTAAGTCTACAACTTACAGACAAACTGTTATTCCCGACAATATTAATTATTGTGGTTACGTTCCAGGCAGTGTTCAGTTTTGGAAATACAAAGATGATGGGGACCAGTCCCTGCCTCAAGTAAGGGATAAGTGACATACATGATGCTAACAGTATTCCAATGTGATAAATAGTGAACTAAAAGAATGACTAAACTTCTGTAGAAGCATACCCAGTGGGATGAGATTGATGGGTGCCTGGAGGAAGGAGGGGAGGCTTCTCTGAGAAGGTCATATGAGCTGGGTTTGGGATGAGCCTGAGAACTGGTTAACGAGAAGAATTTAGATCATCAGCACAGACCACTCCTTTGAAATCTGGACTTCTACATCCAACTTCATGGATGTTTCAGAGTCCTCTCAAATTCAATCTATCCAAGAATGAACAAATAATTTTCTTCTACTTTTTAACTGCCAAACTTCACTCTCTTCTTAGAATTTCCATGATACCAACTTCTTTCCATTTATTCAAACCAGTAGCCCAGAGGACATTCTTTTCCACACCATTTTTTAAAACTTTACATGTGTAATCCAACTTCAAGCCCTGTTAGTATGTCTAGATATATATTTCTGTATATAAAAATGTATCTCTATATATGTATATGTATGTGTGCTATCTGTGTATGTGTATGCATGTATTTTCCTGTACAGCCATCGTTAATACGACCATCTCTCACGTTTGCTGTTATACCCTCCATCTAATCTACCTGTATTCTCCACCCCATTCTCTTTTTTATTCCTTTCTCCAAACAACGACCAGAGTGATATTTTGAAAAGAGTCATTCTCTTCCTAGGTTCTTTCACACCTTCCCTTCATTTATGTTCTTCTATCTGAAATCCCCTGCCTGGAAGACAATCTTGTATTCAGTCTTTAATAAATTCTTTTTTTTTTTTTTTGAGACAGAGTCTCTGTTGTCCGGGCTAGAGTGCCACGGCATCATCCTAGCTCACAGCAACCTCAAACTCCTGGGCTTAAGCGATCCTTCTGCCTCAGCCTCCCGAGTAGCTGGAACTACAGGCATTCACCACCATGACTGGCTAATTTTTTCTATATATGTTTAGTTGTCCAGCTAATTTCTTTCTATTTTTTAGTAGAGATGGGTCTCGCTCTTGCTCAGGCTAGTCTCGAACTCCTGAGCTCCAACGATCTACCAACCTCAGCCTCCTAGAGTGCTAGGATTACAGGTGTGAGCCACCGCACCCAGCCTTAATAAATTCTTAATGGCAACATTCCCTGTGAAATCTATCCTGAAATTTCTCAGGCACAACTAATTACTGTTTTCTCTACATTTCCTTGGCCCTTTGTTTATACACTTACTCACTTCTATATATGTGAATTAGTAGAGAGTAAGTGCTCAGTAAACATTTACTGAATTTATGTATTTACAACTGAATCTCTCCTCAATGCTGGAAATCAATAAAACCACCTAAAACAACAGCCCCCTGTCTCATAGGTATTAACTAAACCCCGCTCCCTGGCCTGCCACTCTACCTGCTATTCCCTGTCTCTTCTGATCTCCTAGATTTGCACTCTGACCTCTGGGACCTTCTTTAGGACTTCTGTGGCTTGATGATCTATTTGTGTCAACTTCTCCAGCTTCCTGACCCTGCCAGCCTCCCAATTTCTCAGCACCTGATTCAGTGAGCAGTGTTTTTGCTGCTGGTCCAGCTCATGGGTTCCACTGAGTCCATCTGACACCAAAGCTCTGGTACTATTCGTGTTTAAAAATGTGAGCAAGGGTTCTGTTTTCTGACACAAGATAATAATGCTCATTATTCCCATGGTTTGGCAATAATAAACAATAAGGTATAGGGATGATATATCCTGAGAGTAAACAGCAGTGATGCCCATCACGCACTCTGCTGAGAACTAAGAAATATCTGCCAAAATGAATGAATGTATGAACGTAAATTAGGAGTGACAAGCGTCAACTGCTCTGCTCACTTCTGCCTGATTAGCTCTGCCAACTAGTGTCAAAATGATACCATAGCTAGTAAATGACAGCCAGCTGGGTCTCAGAACACATGATGGTAAGTCCATTTTGACTCCTGAACTGCCACTGGCCATTAAATAAGGTCTCATTTATGGGGGTTGGGGGGGCTAATTACTGCATACTGGATATGGAAACTGTTAAAACCATTCCAAGGTTATGCTAGTAACATGAAACCTTTATTTGTGCCTTCCAATGTTGTCTACACTTTTGAATAGAGATCTCTACTTTAATAAGCCTTCCACAGTTTTTAAAAAGAAACCTTTTCTCAAATGATGGCTTCTATTATAATAATCCTATCTCTAAAACACCACTGTTCTGCAGTAATCACTTCTATGACCAGAAGAAAAAAAACAAAAAATAACTCTATTAATTACAAAAAATTTACATATATAGTTTTGGTAAAAAAAAAAAAAGACAACTTTGAAAAATGTGCACCTCAATGTCTTATAGATAACTCCTCACTCATCTTTTAGTATATACTTTTTAGTTTAAATCACTCAATTCTGCTTCACTGTTCTAGAAAAAAATTATGAAAATGTTCTAAAGTAGAAAATGAACATATCTTCTCACAGTTGGTCCCTTTCAAGAGATAATAGATGGTTACCTCAATCTGTGCAGTGTGGTTGGCATAATACTTTAAGGCTTCATCTCCTTCGTCTGGATCCGATCCTGGTTTGAGCATCTGCTGCAACAGTTTGTTGTGGCGCGCCAACTAGGGAGAAGGAAAAGGTAAAGGTTTTAGGTCTCTTCTTCCCCTTTCCTGGGGTTGAACTTTCAAATTACTTTGTCCGCTTGTACACTTAGCCTTACAGTCCTGGAGTTAATGGCAATCAGTTATAGTTCAAGAAAGCATGTCTATATTTGAAAGGCATAAATAATGAAATCACAAGGATTAGCTATTAATATTTGTTGATTAAATTTATATCTTCAATAACATAAGACTGCACCAGGAAGAAATAGTGATATATAATTGATATTCCCTATTATAAATTTAAATTACACGCACATATACGACAACTTGATCAATAGTGCAATAGATCAGTGGGTAGTAGGTAGTGAAAACAATATAAATAGTAGCTTTCTATATGCACATAAATAGGTATCTGTATTTCAGAAGAGTTCCTCTTATGACATCTAATCAAAGCTCTACATTAGTAGTTTGAACTAAAGGCCTATGTTTCTGCAACTTGGTATGTCAACATTGGTGCTTTATGGGTATAGACTTCAATTTTATTGGAATTGAAATTGGGCATTTAAAGAATAAAAATTTCATCATAAATTATTTTAAACTGCTGGCGGTAGAAGTGATCTTTCTCATTTGAATGTCCATGGAAATTGTTGGCTAGTTCTCTCACTTTATAGATAATTAATACATATTGCCTTCAGATGTCTCTTTTATGGTTGTCATGAACAATTTCTGAAACTCTGCAATGTCTTTAACCTTTCAAATATTCTGTTAATGCCTCAAGTTCCCTGAGGGCTTCTAGTGACAAAGACTCTGCCATGCATTAATAATTCTTTTACTCCTAGCACAGAGCTTGCCTCCGACTCCGTGCCAGGCACTATGTTAAGCACTCTAAGTACATGATCTTGTTTGATCTTACTAAGAAATCCTGGGGTAGGCACTCTTCTTATCTCTATTTTACAGATGAGGAGACAGAAGCATGGAGAGTATGAGGAACTTGTTTGCGATAACATAGCTAGAAAATAGTAGAGCCAGAATTAAACCCAGGCAGTATGGCTACAGAGTCTGTATTTTAGCAACATTATAGAGCAATAACTGTCTCCTATTATTCATGAGATCTTAATACAAATTGTGATTATAAAGAATGGAGATAAATTTTAAACAATAATCCAGACTGTATAAAACCAAATTAACATTATCCTTGTAAGTGACAACCTGGTACGTTAAATATTCATTCCATTGATTCTGCTGTAGAGAAAATCATTTTTGAAACTATTATTTTGGAATGGGCTTTCAGGGTCTCATTTATAAATCACTCAAGAAAACCATTTCCTGTTTTATATTTGCATTTTATTTTCAACTAAATGTGAATTATACAGATTTTTTTTTTTTTTGAGACAGGGTCTCCCTCTGTCACCTGGGCTGGAGGGCAGTGGCATCATCTTAGCTCACTGTGACCTTAAACTCCTGGGCTGAAGTGATCCTCTTTCTTCAGCCCCCCGAGTAGCTGGGACTATAGGCGTGTGTCACTATGCCTGGCTAATTTTTTATTTTTTGTAGAGACAAGGGTCTTGCTCTTGTTCAGGCTGATCTCAAACTCCTGACCTCAAGCAATCCTCCCACCTCAGCCTCCCAAAGTGCTAGGATTATAGGCATTAGCCACTGTGCCTGGCCAAATTATACAGATTTTTATTACAAACCGTAGTCATAAAACTTGTGACTTGTAGGTATTTCTAAAAATCTAAAAAGTTTCAAAGAATAAAACTATTTAACATTTAGGCACATTAGCATGTTTTAAGAAGTGGCAAGAAGTAGACAGTTCTTGAAGGTAAAACTGACATGATTTGTTTACAGATTGGATCTGGGGCACAAGAGAAAGAGAAAAATTAACAATAACTCCAAAATTTCACCCAAGAAACAAAAAGGTTGGAAATGCCATTTACTAAGGAAAAATGCAAAAGGAGCACACTTAGGGGGAAAAAATAAGGACTTTGGACACATGAAGCTTTAAAAATTATCCAAGAGGAGATGAGGAGCAAGCTGTTAGATATGTTTGTCAAGAGTTCAGGGCAGAGGTTGGGGCTGGAGCTGTACATTTGAGAGTCATCAGTACATGGCTGATATTTAAAATCATGAGTCTTAATGAGATTACCTGAAAGTGAGTATAGACAGAAAAAATAGGTCCACAGAACTCCAGCAGAGGTTAGGAAGATGAAAGACATCAGCAAAGAAGACTGAGGGTGTTGGTTAAGCAAGGTAGGAACAAAAGCAGTGCAATCAGGTGTCATGGCAGCCAAGTGAAGGAAGACGTTCAAGATGCAAAGTGATCACTCTGCATCAAATGCTGCTGAGAAGTCAAATCAAATGAGGACTGGGAGATGTCATTCGGTTTAGAAATTTGGAAATCATGGTTAAGCTTGACAGCAGTATCAGTATGTTTAGGAAGTACTGGAGAGCAAAGATTAATTGCAGTGAGTTTAAACAAGAATGGGAGGAGAGGCATAAACGATAAGTGTGAGTATAGGCAACTCTTGAGGACTGTTGCTGTAGGGAGAAGCCAAGAAATAGGACAGTATCTGGATAAAAAGGCAGGGTAAAATGGTGATTTTCTAAAATGCAGGAAATGCAACACCATGTTTGTTTGATTTTGAGAGAAAGGGAACATCTGCCAGCTAGAGCAACATCTTGACTAGGTGAAAGTGGAATGATCCAGTACATTGGTAGAAGGATTTGCCTTAGAAACAAATTCACCATCAGTGTCAGCAGAGAATATGGGCACAGATTTAGGAGTTTGGGTAGTTGTGATTCTGGGAACACAGGAAGTTCTTTTCTAGTTACTTTTATCTTCTTAGTGAACTAGGAAGCTGCTAATGAGGATGAGAGAGGAGGTGTTGGATATTTGATGAAGAGAAGCTATGAAACAGCGAGGGCAAGTGAATGGACTTGGTAAATATAATAGGATTGCCAGGAAGCCTTTATGTCATGGTCAAAGTGAGGCCAGCAAACACGTTTGTGTTTTCTTCTCCAGCAATGCTCAACTGTCTGGGTGCAGACGTAGAGTAGGCAGAGAGTTGTAATTAATGAGACTTGCCGTTTTGTTGGGTGAGGTCAACAACACACAAAAAAGAGGTACGTGGAGATTAAGGGTTTACACAAGGAATTTAAATGGAACCATGGAATCTAAGCTGGATGAAGAAGAAAGTGAAGCCACAAGGGATAATGAAAAGGTTGCAGGATCGATGAATTACAGCTTCTAACATAGTTTAAAAATAAAATGTGTTGGAGCTGGGGTGCTAGAAGTCAGAGTGGGATATTTGAAATGGAGCTAATTGAGACAGTGCAGGTGCAGTGACCAGTGATGACCAGGTTTTAGGTGTGCCCACGTGTCTATCATATAACTGCTTCTCACATCTCCTCCACTACCCTGGTCCCAGCCACCATCTTCTCTCACCCAGAGCAGTGCAATGGCCTTCTAATTGGTCTCCCCGCTCCCCTTGTTCCCCAGAGTCTAGCTTAATACAGGAGCCAGAGCGATCCTTTCAGTCAGACCATGTCTCTCTTCTGCTTGGAACCTCCAATGGCTGCCACCTCACTTAGCAGCAGAGCTACGTTCTCACTTGTTGGTCTTTTATTCACTCTCTCTCCCTACAGAAAGTAACCTTATATTCTTATAGGATGGATTTTCACTTGTTTTCTTCACTGCTATATTTCTAAGGCTTGGAACACATAGTAGGTGCTCAATACATATTTATTTAATCAACTGAATTTAAACATCAGAATTCTTTAAGTCTTAAATATGCGATAGCTTCCCAAGGTGAGATAGTAATTTGAATAATTTCCCAATAGTTTTTTAATTAACAAGCTTTGACTTCTTTATGATCACTTTATAGGGTCAAAAATTGCTATAACTATTTTAAGAAATGAATAATGTTATTTTATGTGAATTAATAGTGAAAAACCCTATACAAATATTTTCTAGTTAGTGTATCTTGCTTTGCACAAACATTTTAAGGCTTCTCTCCTCCCCATAGTCTTAATGAGATGATTCTGCATTTGTCTTGTTTTATTGCAAAAAAGAGGCATTCTATTATAAAAGGCACTAAAAAAATTAAACAACTAGGCCTCCCTTCACATGTCCAAAGTGTTAGAACAATATTTTCATTCATGATTATATAACTAATCTATACACCTCTTGGAAAATTTGAAATAAATTTTTAAAAAGTAATAAAAACCAAATAGAGCTAATTGCACTATTTTTTTCTACCTGGGCACCTTTTATATTTCTTGTGACTGAGGGCCTTTCCTCACCAAGCAGCCTGGTTTGCTTTTCCCTGTTCCATGTTCAGATAGTGCCCTGCACATATCTATATAACGAAATCTCTCATGTTGTATCTTAGTAACTATTATTTCTCTCCAGTGGGCTGTGACATTCTTAAAAAAAAGGCCTGGTCTTATTCATCTCTGTATTCTCAAAGCCCAAAACTGAACTTGGTACATAAAACAGACTCAGTGAAGAAATGGGTTAATAAATGACATACATTCATGTGTTTAAATGGGCAAGGACTCAAGTCTCAATGAATTTTCTCTCTGTTTCCTCCTCTATAAAGAGGAAGGGCAAAGAAATCAGAAATTATTAATGAGATGATGGTACAAATTCCAGTGTTTGCAGAAATAAGGCATTTTAATATTTTTCATCATTTCATAGTTATTTATGGACTCATACTATACTCACATTTTCTTGTTTCATAGTTATTTATATACTTATATGTACATAAATATTTACATATTTTTGTACATGTTTATCACATATCTTCTGATAGATTGTAAGCTATTTGGAGAAAGGGACTGTGTATTCATAAATGTTGACTGGAACCCTATATGATAAAGCAAGGGTAATATCCTTATTATATAGGCAAAATATAAAATAATTAAGGAATATCTCAATGACTCTGAAATGCACAAAAATGACTGATATCAATATAGAACTTTCTTGGTACAAATTAACAGTTCACTAAAAGCACAGTACA